AGCATGAAGGCAAGCCCTACTGCAACCACCCCTGCTACTCAGCCATGTTCGGGCCCAAAGGTATGTCTGGGTGACTCCTGCTCCAACCCCCCGTAGCCCCCCCCCGCCCCCCTCCCCAGGCTGTTGACTTCTCTTTGCAGGCTTTGGACGGGGTGGAGCCGAGAGTCACACCTTCAAGTAAACCCAGGTAGAGCCCTGCCCCCACCCCCAGCTCCTGACTCCCATGGGAACCCCCAGGGAAGTCCGACTACTCTCCTGGAGGGAGTTGGGGATGTTGAGCTCACGTTTGTCCCTCTTTCTCTGCACAGGCGGTGGAGACCCCATTCCCGGCCACCCGTGGGGCCGCTGCCCACGCAGATGTGAGGCCGAACTCCCAGACACCCAGGGCTCCCTTGTAGCCCCTCATGCCCTCAATAAACTTTAACACTTGGAAGACCCATGTGTGTGGATGTGCCTGCATGTGTATGTGTGTGCACATGCATGTCTGCACATGTGTGCTCACGTGCACATGTGTGTGCATGCCTGATGAAGTGATTGGGGGAGCAGCAGCAACTGGGTTCTGATCCCAGGCTCTGTCTACTGCCCTTGGGAGGTTCTTCTGGGGATCTCACAGGCCAGCCCCCCCAGGATGAGAGTCCAAGTCACCGTAGGCAGCCCCGCCCCGTAGTTCTGATGCTTGGAGACTCCCTCTGCAGACCCTCAGAGGTATCCCTGAACCCTCTTGGGTTTCAGGACAAGGGGGGCTTTGCAAGCCTGGGGCCAAAGGGTCCATGGACCCCTGAGGCCTGGGAAGGGGGTAGGGCCAAAGGGTCCTGGGCCCCTGAAGCCTGGCAGCTGCTGGGACCAAAGGGTCCTCTGGCAGGCCCAGGAGCCATTCCTGCGGGGGAGGTGGGTCTGGCCTGGGGTCAGAGGGTGAATCAGCCAAGCACACATGTACAGGTTCCGTTTCTGAGAGGCCTTGGAGGGGTTGTGGTGGGGACTCCTTGCCTGCCCCTTCCCACTTCCTGCTGCCCCTTTCCCCACCTGCAAGGGCCCGCTGTGGCTGAGTGGCCTGCCAGAGTTTGTTCTCATCTGCACTCCGCCCTGTGCCTAGGGACTTCACAAGGGGCCAGGCGCTTCAGTGGGGAACTGGGTACCGGCTGTGCGCGGGGTTTGGG